TGTTCGCGTCACTCCGTCAATCCGTCCGTATCGTTCCGTCAACCCGTCCGTGGTCGTCCGTCATTCCAACACTCCACCAATGCCAGGCCGTCTGCGGACGGATCTGACCCCACGGAGCCCTGGGCCGTCCCCTTCTGACGCGGCTCCGTTGTTATGACGGCTCTGAGGCCGCCGCTGTCAGCCGCCGCTGTCAGCCGTGCTGGCAGGTGCAGCTCGCTTCTCGGCGCGTCGGCCGGTCGCCGGGGGTCGGCCCGTCAACCCGTCAATAACCGCGCCGTACGAGACGGCCGCCGGCTCCCCTCGACTGGGTGGGAACAGTGCGCCAGTCATACGGACCGACCGCACACCTCGGGGCAGCTGACACCGGCCGCCCTCACCGCCCGCCGCCGAGCCGCCCCTGGCGTCCTCAGTGCGTCAGCGAGCAGAGCTGTTTGTTTATCCTCGCGAACCGTGCGTCTCCCACAGTCGTCGGGCGGTGCCTGTGTTTACCTCGATTCACACCAATATTGGCCATTAGCGATGATGTAGACAATAACACGGCGGTGGAAGGGAGGGGGAGGCAGTCGCACCCAGGAGTTCGTCGTCGCCTTCCGCTGCTGCGCGGCTGGGAACTGGCGGACTGTCGGACGCACTTCCCTGACGGGTGGGCGTGGGCCGTGGGCCCGGACCTCCGCCGAGCTGATGATAATTGTACCGCACAGGCGCGTCGAAAACATTTGTCTTTCGCACAGAATTACCGCGAAGGATGATCGATGTTTCGCATGAGCGCCTGAGACGTTTTCCCAAAAGATTTCCCGTGTGCCGTTGTTGACTGATGGATTGTTTCGTAAACTAAAAGTGATACGTTCCAAAAAGTTTATGCTTTCCTTTTCTTTCGTAGCCTATTAGTCGCTGTTACTTGCATTCCATTTGTACTTCAAGCATTGAGGAAAACACTGAAATGTGGGTTATGTTTGGAATATGTTGTGAAAATATGTTTGGCTTTTGTCCAGAGGTGCCGAATACCCTTCCAATGCGTACACTAACTCAACCGGTTTGGAAGTCTGGTTCATAAGGAGGATACACCAAAGACATTGTTTGTGCATGTAACGGAAGTTGGCACAGATTCAGCACAGATTCAGCACAGCACAGATTCGGTAGGGGGAAAAAAGGCCCCGGTAGAGGGAAACCTTTATGACCCGTTTTCCCCTAGAAATGACGTCACAAAGAGGTAAAAATGGGTATCAATCGAAAGCTCTCGTTTACCCAGACACAGTCCTGCAGGAAAATTCCACTTTTTCCCCATAGGAAAGTTTTTACGGAAAAATCAAAATTTCGGGTCAATGGGGGGTCCCCCCCGATTTCGTTCAAAATCGGCACACAGGTGCCCCACCACCAGCCGAGAAACTTTCCCCAAAACGGTCCCCGTTGCATTGACGTTTAAGGCCCTTAAAGCCCCGTAAACTCGTAAAAAATCCGTAAATTCGCCCTTGTACGGCCAAAAACGGGGCGCTAGGGTAAAAATGGGTATCAATCGAAAGCTCTCGTTTACCCAGACACAGTCCTGCAGGAAAATTCCACTTTTTCCCCATAGGAAAGTTTTTACGGAAAAATCAAAATTTCGGGTCAATGGGGGGTCCCCCCCGATTTCGTTCAAAATCGGCACACAGGTGCCCCACCACCAGCCGAGAAACTTTCCCCAAAACGGTCCCCGTTGCATTGACGTTTAAGGCCCTTAAAGCCCCGTAAACTCGTAAAAAATCCGTAAATTCGCCCTTGTACGGCCAAAAACGGGGCGCTAGGGTAAAAATGGGTATCAATCGAAAGCTCTCGTTTACCCAGACACAGTCCTGCAGGAAAATTCCACTTTTTCCCCATAGGAAAGTTTTTACGGGAAAATCAAAATTTTGGGTCAATGGGGGGTCCCCCCCGATTTCGTTCAAAATCGGCACACAGGTGCCCCACCACCAGCCGAGAAACTTTCCCCAAAACGGTCCCCGTTGCATTGACGTTTAAGGCCCGTAAAGCCCCCTAGACTCGTAAAATATCCGTAAATTCGCCCTTGTACGGCCAAAAACGGGGCGCTAGGGTAAAAATGGGTATCAATCGAAAGCTCTCGTTTACCCAGATACAGTCCTGCAGGAAAATTCCACTTTTTCCCCATAGGAAAGTTTTTACGGAAAAATCAAAATTTTGGGTCAATGGGGGGTCCCCCCCGATTTCGTTCAAAATCGGCACACAGGTGCCCCACCACCAGCCGAGAAACTTTCCCCAAAACGGTCCCCGTTGCATTGACGTTTAAGGCCCTTGAAGCCCCGTAAACTCGTAAAAAATCCGTAAATTCGCCCTTGTACGGCCAAAAACGGGGCGCTAGGGTAAAAATGGGTATCAATCGAAAGCTCTCGTTTACCCAGACACAGTCCTGCAGGAAAATTACACTTTTTCCCCATAGGAAAGTTTTTACGGAAAAATCAAAATTTCGGGTCAATGGGGGGTCCCCCCGATTTCGTTCAAAATCGGCACACAGGTGCCCCACCACCAGCCGAGAAACTTTCCCCAAAACGGTCCCCGTTGCATTGACGTTTAAGGCCCTTAAAGCCCCGTAAACTCGTAAAAAATCCGTAAATTCGCCCTTGTACGGCCAAAAACGGGGCGCTAGGGTAAAAATGGGTATCAATCGAAAGCTCTCGTTTACCCAGACACAGTCCTGCAGGAAAATTCCACTTTTTCCCCATAGGAAAGTTTTTACGGGAAAATCAAAATTTTGGGTCAATGGGGGGTCCCCCCCGATTTCGTTCAAAATCGGCACACAGGTGCCCCACCACCAGCCGAGAAACTTTCCCCAAAACGGTCCCCGTTGCATTGACGTTTAAGGCCCGTAAAGCCCCCTAGACTCGTAAAATATCCGTAAATTCGCCCTTGTACGGCCAAAAACGGGGCGCTAGGGTAAAAATGGGTATCAATCGAAAGCTCTCGTTTACCCAGATACAGTCCTGCAGGAAAATTCCACTTTTTCCCCATAGGAAAGTTTTTACGGAAAAATCAAAATTTTGGGTCAATGGGGGGTCCCCCCCGATTTCGTTCAAAATCGGCACACAGGTGCCCCACCACCAGCCGAGAAACTTTCCCCAAAACGGTCCCCGTTGCATTGACGTTTAAGGCCCTTGAAGCCCCGTAAACTCGTAAAAAATCCGTAAATTCGCCCTTGTACGGCCAAAAACGGGGCGCTAGGGTAAAAATGGGTATCAATCGAAAGCTCTCGTTTACCCAGACACAGTCCTGCAGGTAAATTCCACTTTTTCCCCATAGGAAAGTTTTTACGGGAAAATCAAAATTTCGGGTCAATGGGGGGTCCCCCCCGATTTCGTTCAAAATCGGCACACAGGTGCCCCACCACCAGCCGAGAAACTTTCCCCAAAACGGTCCCCGTTGCATTGACGTTTAAGGCCCGTAAAGCCCCCTAGACTCGTAAAATATCCGTAAATTCGCCCTTGTACGGCCAAAAACGGGGCGCTAGGGTAAAAATGGGTATCAATCGAAAGCTCTCGTTTACCCAGATACAGTCCTGCAGGAAAATTCCACTTTTTCCCCATAGGAAAGTTTTTACGGAAAAATCAAAATTTTGGGTCAATGGGGGGTCCCCCCCGATTTCGTTCAAAATCGGCACACAGGTGCCCCACCACCAGCCGAGAAACTTTCCCCAAAACGGTCCCCGTTGCATTGACGTTTAAGGCCCTTGAAGCCCCGTAAACTCGTAAAAAATCCGTAAATTCGCCCTTGTACGGCCAAAAACGGGGCGCTAGGGTAAAAATGGGTATCAATCGAAAGCTCTCGTTTACCCAGACACAGTCCTGCAGGTAAATTCCACTTTTTCCCCATAGGAAAGTTTTTACGGGAAAATCAAAATTTCGGGTCAATGGGGGGTCCCCCCCGATTTCGTTCAAAATCGGCACACAGGTGCCCCACCACCAGCCGAGAAACTTTCCCCAAAACGGTCCCCGTTGCATTGACGTTTAAGGCCCGTAAAGCCCCCTAGACTCGTAAAATATCCGTAAATTCGCCCTTGTACGGCCAAAAACGGGGCGCTAGGGTAAAAATGGGTATCAATCGAAAGCTCTCGTTTACCCAGACACAGTCCTGCAGGAAAATTCCACTTTTTCCCCATAGGAAAGTTTTTACGGAAAAATCAAAATTTCGGGTCAATGGGGGGTCCCCCCGATTTCGTTCAAAATCGGCACACAGGTGCCCCACCACCAGCCGAGAAACTTTCCCCAAAACGGTCCCCGTTGCATTGACGTTTAAGGCCCTTAAAGCCCCGTAAACTCGTAAAAAAATCCGTAAATTCGCCCTTGTACGGCCAAAAACGGGGCGCTAGGGTAAAAATGGGTATCAATCGAAAGCTCTCGTTTACCCAGACACAGTCCTGCAGGAAAATTCCACTTTTTCCTCATAGGAAAGTTTTTACGGGAAAATCAAAATTTTGGGTCAATGGGGGTCCCCCCCGATTTCGTTCAAAATCGGCACACAGGTGCCCCACCACCAGCCGAGAAACTTTCCCCAAAACGGTCCCCGTTGCATTGACGTTTAAGGCCCTTAAAGCCCCGTAAACTCGTAAAAAATCCGTAAATTCGCCCTTGTACGGCCAAAAACGGGGCGCTAGGGTAAAAATGGGTATCAATCGAAAGCTCTCGTTTACCCAGACACAGTCCTGCAGGTAAATTCCACTTTTTCCCCATAGGAAAGTTTTTACGGGAAAATCAAAACTTCGGGTCAATGGGGGGTCCCCCCCGATTTCGTTCAAAATCGGCACACAGGTGCCCCACCACCAGCCGAGAAACTTTCCCCAAAACGGTCCCCGTTGCATTGACGTTTAAGGCCCTTAAAGCCCCGTAAACTCGTAAAAAAAATCCGTAAATTCGCCCTTGTACGGCCACCCTTGTACGACTGGGGTAAAAATGGGTATCAATCGAGAGCTCTCGTTTACCCAGACAAAACTTTATCCAGGCAAAAAAGGCATAAAACACTTACTTTATGGCATGTATTGCTACAAAACCGAACAAAGAACAAGCATATAACACGGTGTGACCATTTGAATAGTCTCTGCACTTTTTTTGTTTCTACTTAGATAAATCCCTTTTATCTTACATCACAGACGTTCTAGTAAATCATTATTACTAAATCACATGCGTTACTACTATCCTTGACTCAGAAACTGCTTACCCTCCAATCGACACTGTGTTGTACGATATCACAGCTTCAGTTTTATAACACGCAAGAAAGGACACCAATGGCCGTTTCAGGTTAACGATGCCTACCCACTAAAAGGAATGACATATTGTGGACCACCTTGGGGCCGTCGCACGCTATATCGGTATCCGCGTCTACAGTCGACTTTGGTCCATCCTCACCGACCGACGTTAGTGTCCGGTCAGGAATAGGACACACATACAATTTCGGCACATCATGCCGAAACTCTTGGCTTGGCTCTTGGCTCACTTAAGTAAATGTCTAAGCTCGAGCAAGCATAAAGTGAAGGAAGTTTAAAACAAAACGCTCCAATATGAACTTACTGCAAAACGCGCACGCCCACGCACACACGCACAAAAATTGCTTAGCGAAGTTCTTCCGCAAGGCTGACACACATTTTTTCACACACCTCTCACACGTCAGCCTGCACTTTTAGTCCATCGCAACACTTCTGCCGCGAACGTAGCTGTTATGAAACTAATGACCCTAGAATGCAGCGGTAACATCAGCTTCCACACCGGACGACAAGCCGGTGTCGCTTGGCTGGCTCAGGCCCAAGCCGATTAGTCCATTCAGACCTCATTCTTCTACCTCAATCGCACGACAAAAATTCTGATAAGCATATCAAAAGGTTACTGAACACCTCCGACGGCACTCAGTCATTTCCAAGCACGGCCTCCGCGGACCGTATAAACCGGTCTTCAGCGACACGCCGTCGCACAGGTCAGGCAGGTACTCTTTGAGCTCAGAGCTGGTGTGAGGGCCGGGCACACGGCAGCCGCCATGCCGTCGCCGCAGCCGCCCAGGATCAGCCAGCACTGGAGAGAGCGCAGCGGATGTTAGAATGAGAGGCTGTGTGCCTACAGCAATAAACGTCACTTCACATAGCGCTGACTCACCCCCCCCCCCCCACCCACCCACATACATACACACTATCTCGTGCAACTCAAAAGGAACTGTCTGGGCAGACCACTTGAATTTGTTATTGAAGTCTGCCACGCGGATGTTTTGTTTAAGTTATCAGTTCGCTGACTTGGAGATTCAGAGGGGCTTAGGCGAGCACAGGTCTGCTTGCCCTGGTATAGGTCACTGATATCGTCGTTTTCTTCTTAAGCCAGTTCCCATTGGCAAATAAATTAAATGGCAATGGCTTTAATATTTGGCGGTTTATGGCTAAATTCATGCTCCCTTGACAAAAGAGCATGTATAGAACGGAATGCCGCCGCATCCATGTAGTCATGCAGATTGTGTTTTGAACAAAGAGTCAAACTCATTAAAAAAAAACAGGTAAGGACGTTTTGTAGGATTTTTCAAATAATCAGATGGTGGATTTTATATTGCCTCAAACCTTGAGGGTAACGAGTTAAGAAATGGTGCACCTTACTTACTGAGCTCTTTAAAAGTTCTTTAAAAATCATCAAATCATTTTACAGGGCATGGGGCTTCATACTCACTCTTTATCGCAAGGACGCCAGGTAGCTGGCGGCATCCGCCACCACCGTGAGCCGGCGAATGCTTGGTGGTTCTTTTGCGAAAACTGGCGTACGCTGACTGCACCGGCACGCAGGGAGAGGGGCGACAGCCTGTGTTGTAGCAGCCTGGAAGGTACAGAACGGGATGCATATTGGTAAAATGTAAAACCAGTTTACCCTTAAGTAAAGTAACATGCTGTCTTTGCCTAAACAGTAATGAACATCACATTCATTCAAGTACTTTACAATCCGTTAGCAGTGGAACATGGAAAACATACGTAACTTATTTCCAACGAGTGCGCAAAAGCGACTAGTATTATAAGTCGGTTGTTGGGTCAAGGCATAAAGCAGGGTAAGCATTTGGTTAGGGATATTAATAGACTCGCCAGGAGCACAAATGATTAGCAAACTTGTAAATAGCTACGACTCATGATTGGAAAAATCGTTACTAACTTTAATATTAAAAACTACAGCGCGGTGGTCGTTTCATATGTATAAAAGCACCTGAATGCGAGCCAGAATGTCGGTCACTGCTTCCTCGTCGAAGGGACGTGTTCGGCCGGTGGCTGTGGCCTCGGCGGCCCAGCACGCGCGAAACCCGCAGCTCCAGCCGTCTGTCTGGATAGGACGGTGGCAGATGGCCAGGAGCCACCTGCTCCAGTCCACAGGCTGCGCAGCGCCCATCAACCGCTGGAGCGCTCGGATGTGCTGCTGGTGAGGGTTTTGGCCCAGCGGATCGTAAAAGACGACCGTGCGCCGCCGCCACTTGACCACAAACAACACCCAGTGGTTGCCAGCCACGTTCGTCGGTAGGATCCAGGTTGTTGCTTTCGATGAAGCCAGCATTGCAGGCAGACAGTGGTGACAGGCTGTTTCCGTGCACGCTGCCCAAAACACGGACCATGCGTGGACGTCACCGGGGTGCGAGACTGCCTGGCTGAACTTGTCCAGCTCAATGTCGTTGAGCCAGTCTCGCACCCTGAGAGGCTGTGACCGACTGGTGCTTGCGGCGGCGCTGAAGGGGTTATGAGCAAGGCCAGGGGCGGCGCTGGCGCTGGCTTCATCAGGGCCGGGGGCGGCGCTAGCGCCTGACGTCGGTAGAACCAGGGGCGGCGCTGGCTTCAGCGGGGCCACGGGCGGTCCTGGCACCGACTTCGACGGGGCCAGGGGCGGCGCTGGCTTCGGCGGGGCCACGGGCGGTACTGGCACCGACTTCGACGGGGCCAGGGGCGGCGCTGGCTTCGGCGGGGCCACGGGCGGTGCTGGCACCGACTTCGATGGGGCCAGGGGCGGCGCTGGCTTCGGCGGGGCCACGGGCGGTGCTGGCACCGACTTCGACGGGGCCAGGGGCGGCGCTGGCTTCGGCGGGGCCACGGGCGGTGCTGGCACCGACTTCGACGGGGCCAGGGGCGGCGCTGGCTTCGGCGGGGCCACGGGCGGTGCTGGCACCGACTTCGACGGGGCCAGGGGCGGCGCTGGCTTCGGCGGGGCCACGGGCGGTGCTGGCACCGACTTCGACGGGGCCAAGGGCGGCGCGGGCTTCAGCGGGGCCACGGGCGGTGCTGGCACCGACTTCGACGGGGCCAGGGGCGGCGCTGGCTTCGGCGGGGCCACGGGCGGTACTGGCACCGACTTCGACGGGGCCAGGGGCGGCGCTGGCTTCGGCGGGGCCACGGGCGGTGCTGGCACCGACTTCGATGGGGCCAGGGGCGGCGCTGGCTTCGGCGGGGCCACGGGCGGTGCTGGCACCGACTTCGACAGGGACAGGGTGGTGCTGGCGCTGGCTTCGGCAGGAGCAGCCCGGGAGGCGCTGACCTCGGCAGGGCACTGGGCGGCACTGGCGCTGTTGCTGGAGGCGGTGCTACAGCTCAGGTGGTCGGAGATAGACGTTGGTGCCTTCCTATACGAAAAGCCGCGCCTGCGCCGCTTTTTATCCCACGACTCTTCCTGGTCAGCCAGGTCGAGCGCCCTCTTCTTCGTCTTGCGGGGTGCAGGGACGAGGTCTTCTTTCTTCCTGGCGACCAGCTGGTCGATCAGGACCTCGACCAGGCCGCCCGGCGACAGTCGCCGCCCCTTCAGCAGACTGTGCTTCAGGGTGCGGAACCAGCTCTCCACGCAGGCATTGCTGAAGGGCCTGCCAGTCAGCGAGACCCATAGTGGGGCGAGCGGCATGATGACTGCGTTGATGTGGTTCAGAAGGGGAGGGCTGAAGCAGGAGTTACTGCAGTCTTCGTGTGCTTCTCCGGACAGCTCCGCTTCGACGGACTGCCGGATGGCAGCGAAATGGCGCCCCGATTTGGTGCTGTCCTTGTAGGATCGCCATCGTTCCTCCGCGTCTTCTCGGACTCCTTCTTCCGTCACTTCTTCTTCATCTTCTTTTGGCTCCGCCAGTTTCAGACGTGGCTTCTTCCTTGACAACAGCAGGTGGCACATGTCACGGAAGGCAGCACTCAGCTCCTGGACGCTCACTGACCTCTCCATCCGGCCGTAGAGCCACAGCACCGCCCGCCGCTCCGACGCCTTCTTCTTTCCTAGGTGCGTCACGGCAGCTCGTGCGATGTTCTGAGTGCTGTGACAGGTGCACAGGCGGATGGCGACCTTCACAGCTTCTCCGCGAACCGCCGCGTCCCAGGCCGCGTCAAGATAGGCCGGCAGGGTGGAGCCGGCCAGGGCCAAGCTGATGGCGTGAAGCAGCGCCCAGGAGAGGTCAGATACCACCACCGGCGGCTGCATTAGTCCTGAGCCTGCTGCGCACTGCCGGAAGTCATGAGCCAGCTGTTGTAGGAAGTAGGTGATGGCTGGTGCCGAGTGTGCCTCTGACAACTGGTGAGCGATGGCGTATGAGCCCCCTTCAGCCGGCGAGGCGACCACAGAGTAAAGGTATGGCCTCTTTTCGCCAACCTGGTGGGAGACCGAGCCTGTAGCATCGATGTGGAGAGAGCCGCCTATCTTCGAGTATCTCCTCAGTCCGTGTTCACCGTACACGTGCACAATCAGCGGGGAGTCACCGATCTGGTGCACATACCCCTTCAGGTGAGTGCTCGTCGTGTCCATGATTTTTGAGACACTTTTCATGATCTTCAGATCCTCCATCGGCTTGGCAGAGTACCGCTCCCGCGCTCTTGCCTCCGCCCCAGCCTTTCTCAGCACTTCGGCAGACGGCACTGCCGTGGTGTTGCCATTTTCCAGGGCCGAGTCCTTGGCCTCAACGAGGAGCTTTGTCCTTAGCTTGAAAGGACCATGCAGCAGGACGTCCTGTGCCCTGGCAGCTCGGTTTTCCCTCGCCAGATGCCTACCATGACTACCATTAAGGTGGCAGGCGGCACCCGTCTGACGGACATTGATGATAACGTCACTACACTCGTCCGAAGGGTGACCAAAGTGGGTGAACTCAAAACGCCTGGGACAAGAAGCAAACTTGCATGACGCGTATGCTCGGAATGTTGGTCCACGAACTTTCCTGGATGTTCTTAACTTGAGGTGGCCCTTCTTGAAGCGCAGCACGCAGGGGTGCTCCGCTTTGTCCTCGTACGCCCGGTAGATAATATCTGTCCAGCCAGGCACCAGGTTGTTGGTCTTTCTCCTCCCTTCGGCCATCCGGCTCCACTGACTTCCAGAAAGACGAATGCTGAAGTTTGATTGATCCTTTGAATATGACGGTGGCACTACCGGTGGCGATGACGGTGGCGCTGGTGGTGCCGATGGAAGTGATGATGGCGGTGACGGTGGTGGTGCCGATGGAAGTGATGATGGCGGTGACGGTGGTGGTGCCGATGGAAGTGATGATGGCGGTGACGGTGGTGGTGCCGATGGAAGTGATGATGGCGGTGACGGTGACGGTGGCGGTGACGGTGGCGGTGGCGGTGACGGTGACGGTGGCGGTGACGGTAGCGGTGACAGTGGCGGTGACGGTGACGGTGACGGTGACGGTGACGGTGACGGTGACGGTGGCGGTGACGGTAGCGGTGACAGTGGCGGTGGCGGTGACGGTGACGGTGACAGCAGAGGCTCCGCCGGTTGTGTTGTCGCTGTCGGTGGCTCCGCCGGTGGCAGCTGTACTGTTGATGGCGATGACTCAGCCGGTGGCGCTGCCACTGGCGGTGACGCTGGCGCCTGCGCCCTCTCTGACGGTAGTGAAGGAGCCCACACTCGTGCTGTCACTGGCAGAGGCTCCGCCGGTTGTGTTGTCGCTGTCGGTGGCTCCGCCGAAGGCAGTTGTACTGTTGATGGCGATGACTCAGCCGGTGGCGCTGCCACTGGCGGTGACGCTGGCGCCTGCGCCCTCTCTGACGGTAGTGAAGGAGCCCACACTCGTGCTGTCACTGGCAGAGGCTCCGCCGGTTGTGTTGTCGCTGTCGGTGGCTCCGCCGAAGGCAGCTGTACTGTTGATGGCGATGACTCAGCCGGTGGCGCTGCCACTGGCGGTGACGCTGGCGCCGGCGCCCTCTCTGACGGTAGTGAAGGAGCCCACACTCGTGCTGTCACTGGCAGAGGCTCCGCCGGTTGTGTTGTCGCTGTCGGTGGCTCCGCCGGTGGCAGCTGTACTGTTGATGGCGATGACTCAGCCGGTGGCGCTGCCACTGGCGGTGACGCTGGCGCCTGCGCCCTCTCTGACGGTAGTGAAGGAGCCCACACTCGTGCTGTCACTGGCAGAGGCTCCGCCGGTTGTGTTGTCGCTGTCGGTGGCTCCGCCGAAGGCAGCTGTACTGTTGATGGCGATGACTCAGCCGGTGGCGCTGCCACTGGCGGTGACGCTGGCGCCTGCGCCCTCTCTGACGGTAGTGAAGGAGCCCACACTCGTGCTGTCACTGGCAGAGGCTCCGCCGGTTGTGTTGTCGCTGTCGGTGGCTCCGCCGGTGGCAGCTGTACTGTTGATGGCGATGACTCAGCCGGTGGCGCTGCCACTGGCGGTGACGCTGGCGCCTGCGCCCTCTCTGACGGTAGTGAAGGAGCCCACACTCGTGCTGTCACTGGCAGAGGCTCCGCCGGTTGTGTTGTCGCTGTCGGTGGCTCCGCCGGTGGCAGCTGTACTGTTGATGGCGATGACTCAGCCGGTGGCGCTGCCACTGGCGGTGACGCTGGCGCCTGCGCCCTCTCTGACGGTAGTGAAGGAGCCCACACTCGTGCTGTCACTGGCAGAGGCTCCGCCGGTTGTGTTGTCGCTGTCGGTGGCTCCGCCGAAGGCAGTTGTACTGTTGATGGCGATGACTCAGCCGGTGGCGCTGCCACTGGCGGTGACGCTGGCGCCTGCGCCCTCTCTGACGGTAGTGAAGGAGCCCACACTCGTGCTGTCACTGGCAGAGGCTCCGCCGGTTGTGTTGTCGCTGTCGGTGGCTCCGCCGAAGGCAGCTGTACTGTTGATGGCGATGACTCAGCCGGTGGCGCTGCCACTGGCGGTGACGCTGGCGCCGGCGCCCTCTCTGACGGTAGTGAAGGAGCCCACACTCGTGCTGTCACTGGCAGAGGCTCCGCCGGTTGTGTTGTCGCTGTCGGTGGCTCCGCCGGTGGCAGCTGTACTGTTGATGGCGATGACTCAGCCGGTGGCGCTGCCACTGGCGGTGACGCTGGCGCCTGCGCCCTCTCTGACGGTAGTGAAGGAGCCCACACTCGTGCTGTCACTGGCAGAGGCTCCGCCGGTTGTGTTGTCGCTGTCGGTGGCTCCGCCGGTGGCAGCTGTACTGTTGATGGCGATGACTCAGCCGGTGGCGCTGCCACTGGCGGTGACGCTGGCTCCTGCGCCCTCTCTGACGGTAGTGAAGGAGCCCACACTCGTGCTGTCACTGGCAGAGGCTCCGCCGGTGGCGGGGATGTTGCCCTTGCTGACGCCGGCGCTGGAGGTGATGCTGTCGCGGTTGCCCGCGCTGGTGGTGGCGTCAGCGGTGGCGATGGTGTCGGCGAACGCGACAGAAAGGTCGATGTCGGTGGAGACGATATGCTTCGTGATAGGCAGAACCGAATCGTATCCGTGACATATTTTTGGAAGGTCTTGTCGCGTCTGTACTTGTCAAAAAAACATCTAGCTACTTTTTGCTTTCTCTTCTTAGTAACACTGTTGGATACTTTCAAAACTTCTCTCCAAAAGAGGATGGATCCAGGCTGATGAGAAGTGACGATTTCTCGGAGGTCCGGCAGGCCCTAGGAAGGGAAGCCAATTAGGACAAAAATAGGAACCTCTTGGCACAGGAATCATTCAAAGAGGCAGGATAAAAAACGTGACTATGAGGACATATCTTCATTCTACTGTCCTTACAAAAACATCGATGTTGGTGACTCCGTAATGGTGGCATCTATTGAGTTTGGAAGGCTGCAAACTAATTTGCCCTAACGCTGGCGCTGTGTCAATAAAGTAGAGGTGTTAATTGGTGAAAGAAGTGAGAGAAATGCCCTAGATGAGCTTGGGGGACAAGTGAGAAAAACATCTACAGGACGATATGTTTGGCATTGTCAATCAATTACACAAACGGTTAGATGGTGACATATGACCTACACATGTTAAGCAGACCGACCAGGTCATGCATAAGGTCAAACATAAAAAACATTCAATACGAACGTTTTGAATGCAGGGACTCACAACAGCAGAGCACCTACAAAGCTGTCTAAACAGGCCGTTGGTAAACGTACCATCAGCAGGCTGGTTACAGATGCAGTTCTCTCCCCAGTATAGGTTCCATCCATCTTGGAAGCGAAATCTCTGCCCTGGAAATAACAGCAAAACAATCAAAGCAAAACAATATAATGACAAATTTGATTTGTATGGTAACTCCACTTCCACAGTTGCCAAACACAATAATTCCATATGATGACAATTATCTATCGTCTCTCTGACAAAGATGCCCCTTGCATTGCACAGCTGCAGGGAGACAAAATGAGTACCTAAAGCATGTGTATGGTAGGTAGAATGTAGATGCTCCTAACGACATGATGTGGAGTTTGTAGACCGTCCCCTACGGGGGGGGGGGGGTTGAGCGCCCGCTCCGTGTTTCACAAATATCTCATAAACTTAAGCACGGAGCGCGGCCGCTTTTGGCACAACTCTTCAGTCTTCACACATCTTTTCTCCAAAATGTAATTGCACTTGTGTGTTAATTTCAAACCAAGGCCACTGAGATCAGGTCACCAGATCATGCCATAAGATCTCATCTCATGAAGAAGTTTAACCCTCGTCCTGGCAGGGGGTCGATGCCCCCCCCCCCCCTCCGAGTTATTTTTTGCGATGGGCTCCGAACTATTAGTCGGATCGTGCCGAAATTTTCCATAGCCTCTGGGGCATCCTTTGCGCAGCTTTTGGCAAAAAATATTTTCGGGTCATGTCAGGTCACCGAGCAATGGCGCTATAATAGCCAATAAGTGGGTACGACCTCCGACCGTTTTTGACAAAATCGTACCTTTATTCCGTGTAACTGAACGTGATCTCATCGACAAGAACGAAACTATTCCGTGTGATTTATGCCAGTTTTTGATAGGACATGAATCTTTACATTGTATGTTGACCTTTCTAAGGGCAAACAGGCTCAATGACATCGCATGTTCACACGCTGAGCTTCACGATATGGGCTGTGTTTAGTGGGGTTTCTTGAGGTCCTGAATCCTAATCTGTGATTTAATTTTCACCTAAACGCCTTCAAAACCGTTCCTTGATCTTTACAAGGTCAACCCAGGTCAATTACCTAGAGTGAACTTCCGCTGGCGACCGTCTTCGCCGGCGGCGGGTGCTATGTTCTTAAGTAGGGATGATGCCCTTCCCCCTCCCCCCCCCACCCTGGGTCAGACAGATTTTCATTAATAACGATGCTCCTGCTCGTGGGTCTGCAAGAATATAGAGGGTCATAGAGGAACATAGGGTCATAGAGGGTCTTGGGGTCATCACAGAGCTCAATTGGAGACCACGGAGGTAATCTGAGACACGTCAGGTCACAGAGGTCAACTTGGGGGCACGTCAGGTCACAGAGGTCAACCTAGGGTCATCACAGAGCTCAATTTGAGGTCACGGAGGTCATCTGAGACACATCAAGTCACAGAGGTCAACTTGGGGTCATCACAGAGCTCAATTGAAGGTCATTGGGGCCATCTGGGACACGTCAGGTCACAGAGGTCAGCTTGGTGCCATCAGAGAGGTCACTTAGAGGTCACAGAGGTCATATGGGACATGTCAGGTCACAGAGGTCAACTAAAGGTCATCAGAGAGCTCAATTGGAGGTCATCTGGGACACGTCAGGTCACAGAGGTCAGCTTGGAGTCATTAGAGAGCTCAATTTGAGGTCACGGAGGTCATCTGGGACACATCAAGTCACAGAGGTCAACTTGGGGTCATCACAGAGCTCAATTGAAGGTCATTGGGCCATTGGGGCCATCTGGGACACGTCAGGTCACAGAGGTCAGCTTGGTGCCATCAGAGAGGTCACTTAGAGGTCACGGAGGTCATCTGGGACACGTCAAGTCACAAAGGTCATGTTGGGGTCATCACATAGCTCTATTGGAGGTCATTGGGGCCATCTGGGACACGTCAGGTCACAGAGGTCAGCTTGGTGCCATCAGAGAGGTCACTTAGAGGTCACAGAGGTCATATGGGACATGTCAGGTCACAGAGGTCAACTAAAGGTCATCAGAGAGCTCAATTGGAGGTCATCTGGGACACGTCAGGTCACAGAGGTCAGCTTGGAGTCATTAGAGAGCTCAATTTGAGGTCACGGAGGTCATCTGGGACACATCAAGTAACAGAGGTCTACTTGGGGTCATCACAGAGCTCAATTGAAGGTCATTGGGGCCATCTGGGACACGTCAGGTCACAGAGGTCAACTTGGGGGCACGTCAGGTCACAGAGGTCAACCTAGGGTCATCACAGAGCTCAATTTGAGGTCACGGAGGTCATCTGAGACACATCAAGTCACAGAGGTCAACTTAGTGCCATCAGAGAGCTCAATTGAAGGTCATTGGGGCCATCTGGGACACGTCAGGTCACAGAGGTCAGCTTGGTGCCATCAGAGAGGTCACTTAGAGGTCACAGAGGTCATATGGGACATGTCAGGTCACAGAGGTCAACTAAAGGTCATCAGAGAGCTCAATTGGAGGTCATCTGGGACACGTCAGGTCACAGAGGTCAGCTTGGAGTCATTAGAGAGCTCAATTTGAGGTCACGGAGGTCATCTGGGACACATCAAGTCACAGAGGTCAACTTGGGGTCATCACAGAGCTCAATTGAAGGTCATTGGGGCCATCTGGGACACGTCAGGTCACAGAGGTCAGCTTGGTGCCATCAGAGAGGTCACTTAGAGGTCACGGAGGTCATCTGGGACACGTCAAGTCACAAAGGTCATGTTGGGGTCATCACATAGCTCTATTGGAGGTCATGAGGGTCATCTGGGACACGTCAGGTCACAGAGGTCAGCTTGGTGCCATCAGAGAGCTCAATTGAAGGTCATTGGGGCCATCTGGGACACGTCAGGTCACAGAGGTCAGCTTTGAGCTTGGTGCCATCAGAGAGGTCACTTAGAGGTCACAGAGGTCATATGGGACATGTCAGGTCACAGAGGTCAACTAAAGGTCATCAGAGAGCTCCACGGGCGTAGGAACGTCATGAAAAGTGGGTGGGCCACCATGTCAAGGGGCCTCCTTTTCCAGGGGGCCTCCTATTTTCAGGGGCCTCCAACTTTTGCATCGTCCTGATGGCTGCTTTCAAGTATGACCTCCAAATCTAGCTTCAGAGATCGGGCAGATGTACCCAGTGGCGTAACCGCTTAAGCGAACAGTGCGGAAAGTCCGCACCATTTTTAAAACTTATTTCCCCTCCGATTTTTTTTTTTTAGAATCTATTTGCCGCAAACGGCGCATGACCCCTGAAAACCCTTACACAAATGTCTTCCTCGTTTCCCAGGTGCCCCCATTAGCTTCATAGGCGCCCTCTTTGGCATATAAGCGCCCTATGTATAGTCATCAGAGACATCCCTATATGTCCCACACCCACAGTCGCCCCGTTGTCGCATATACAACCTGTTATGGACACTTGAAGGCGCCTCTCTTTGCCACGCCGGTGCCCCTGTTTCTTATGAATGCACCCCCATGGCATTGATCAATTGCAGTCTGCAGACCTCTATTGCATGTGGACGCCCATATAGTAGGCCTCAGAGGCACCCCTCTTTCGCATTGAGGCACCCCTATGGGCTTCATAGGCGCCCCTCTATTGCACGTAGGTGCCCTACTGTCTCAGAACCGCTCCCCTTTGGCATGCAGACGCCCATCTTTCGACGGAGGAGCCGCCGTGGTTCTTAGAGACGGCATGTTGCTCCCAGACGCAGATGGGGCTCTCGGAGTCGAGTGTCGACAGTGTGGGACCTTCAGTCGCTGATGAGTGCCCGCCAGATGTGGACCCTCGGAGACGCCGGTATGGGGCCCTCAGAGATGCTGGTATGTGGCCCTTAGAGACACCGGTGTGGAACCCTCAGATACTTCAGTGTGAAGCCCTTACAATTGCTGGTGTGGAGCTATGAATGCGCTGGCGAGGCCGGTACATGGGCATTAGAGCTCAGTGAGAGCTTGTGTGGTGCCTTCAGTGGCCTTGTGGAGTCGTTAGACATCAACATGGTGCTCTCAGGAGCCGGTGAGTCCTCAGAGTCACCGGTGTGGGGCCTTCAGAGCTCCGAGATACTGGTGTGGGGCCCTCAGAGGTGTCGGTGTGGGTCCTTCAGATGTAAGTATCTATAGAGCCTTGAGATGCACAGGTGTGGTGGCCCACAGAGGCGCCGGTGTGGGGCCCCCAGAGCCACCGATATACAGGGTGTAACGAAATTATCCGGACATCTATTTCGCCATATCTGCTCGCACAGTTTCTTTTGTAATGTTAGAAGCTGGAAAATTGGATGAATGCATACCTCTGGTATCTGCTCTCAACTCAGCAGTGACCTGACCTTGCGAAATGACTCTTGCTCTGAGTAAGAGTCGAGTCGCCGACGGGTTCATTTGATAGTTTTCGTTTAAGGCGGTGGAGAGAAGGGAGTACAGTCTGGTCTCTCGTTTCGTAGTAAGGCTACGTGTTGGTGGCATGGTGGCATGAGCCAGAAGCTGGTCTGTCAGCAGCTTGACATCAGCAGCAGCCAGTAGCACATCTGCCTGAGGCGTAATAAGCTTGGACTTGGTGGCAGACTCAGCCCGGCCTCGATCGCAAAGGGCGCCCTTTGCCAAGTGGTGAGGAGAGTTGTCAGGATAGCGGCAAGGAAACGGCACCAATTAATTCGCAAACTGACTCGAATTCTTACCAAGGCAGATAATAAGAGGTCCCATATCATGATTCACCGTCACCCGCCCTCTAGCTTGGTTTTACTGCCCTTCAAACTGAAAAAGACAATGAAGTTGACGGGAAAACAACCAGTCCACCACCTTTGGCCTCAGGCCATGGCGTGTCCACTGGTCGAAGGAACACATGAATGAGGTGGCCTGGTTGGATGGGAAACTGTTCGAGCTGCGATGTCCGTTGAACCGTCAAATCGGCCATGTGTGGGCTGCCAGCAGCTCGAACATGCCGGCCGTCGCCGGCGTCAAACGTCCGGCCAAAATCCAGACCTGGAGCATGTTCAGCTGCTGTGCAATATTCAAGTTGTTCATGACGCCACAGAAAACCACTATCAGTAATGAGTATTACCGGCGCAACATCCTGGCTAGCGATTGGTTGGAGCCACTCAGCCAGACGGCACAGGAGGGCTCGGTTTCTGAACGCGTGCTGATGCCTGATTCAAGCCGCGCAGTCTTCATGCGGGGCGGCGCACCAACTTCAAGTCCCTAGCAGAATGAGAAGTGATGCCGAGAGGACCTATTGTTCTTCTGGGCTAACGGGCTATGGCCTGGAAATAGTTCCCATCCCAATTCCATCGATATCTTATGGACTATATTGTCCATCAGGAGATGAATGAGGGGACACCCGCCACCAGCGCCGCCCAACTGTGGGTACAGGTTAGTATGGCGCTACTCTATATGAAACCCACTGTGCTGGAAAATCCAGTGGCTGGAATGCTTCAGAAATTTGTACCTGCGCTCTTATGAAAGGTGGCTATATAATAATTCAAAAGAGAAAATATCAGATTGTCTTGCTTCTTAATTACAGCGCGAATAAAGATGTCCGGATAATTTCGTTACACCCTGTAGGGCCCTAAGAGACACTAGTATGACCCTCAAAGGCGCCGCTGTGTGGCGCTCATAAACACTGGTGTGGAGCCATCACAGGCGGGTGGAGCCGTTAGAAGCCGGAAAGGGCCTTTAGATGCCTACAAGGAGCCTTCAGAAGCACGCGTGGCACCCTTATGGGGATAAGCGTGTCTACTTATGAGCCCTTGAGGTGCTCTCATGAGCTCTGTGGGGCCCTACCGAGCCGAAATATGGCCACGGCCAGTTGCCGCCGCATGGCACTTCGGACTATCATTCTCAGGGGCCTCATCTGCCTAGTTTGAATAGAAGGGCCTCTCAGACAATCAGTCTCATGGGCCTCCTCTGGCTAGTATAAATAGAAGGGCCTGTTAGACCATCAATCCTAGGGGCCTCTTCTGGTTAGTATAAATAGAAGAGTCTCTCAGACCATTAATCTCAGGGGGCTCCTGTGGACAGTATAAATAAAAGGGCCTCTCAGACCATCAGTCTCGGGGGCCTCCCTAGAAAAGTGTAAATGTGGATAGAAGGCCCCCTCAGATTCATTAGGAGTGGACCTCTCTGACTATCAGTCTCAGGGGCCTCTTGCGACCAGTATGAATATAAGAGCCTCTCAGACCATCGGTCTCAGGGGCCTCTTCTGACTAGTTTGGATAGAGGGCCCTCCCAGACCACCGGTTTCAGGGGCCTCCAGTGGCCAGTTATATGAACAGAAGGGCCTCACAGCCATCAGCCTCGGGGGCCTCTTCTGACTGGTGTGAATATGAGGGCCTCTCATACCATCAGTCTCAGGGGCCTCCTCTGCCTAGTGTGAATATAAGGGCTTCCCAGGCCATCAGTCTCGGGGACTCTTCTGACTGGTGCCGGATTGAGGGACCTCCCAGACCAAAAGTTTTGGGGGTCTCCTGTGGCCAGTATGAATAGAAGGGCCTCTCAGTCCATCAGTCTCATGGGCCTCTTCTGCCTGGTGTGATTATAAGGGCCTCTCAGGTCATCAGTCTCAGGGGCCTCCTCTGACTACAGTGTAGATGGATAGGCCTCCCAGACCATCAGTCTCAGGGGCCTCTTCTGACTATTGAGGATAGAGGGGCCTCCTCTGACTAGTGAGGGTAGGGGGCCTCGGCTAGACCGCCAGTGTCAGGGGCCTATTCTGACTAGTGTGGATGGAGGGGCCTCCCAGACCACCAGTCTCAGACCTCTGACTAGTGTGGATAGAGGGGCCTCCCAGACCGCCAGTGTCAGGGGCCTCCCCAGACCAGTGTGGATATTGGGGCCTCCTCAGATCCACTAGGGCCTCTCAGGCCATCAGTCTCAGGGGCTTCGACTGACAAGTATGAACAGAGGGCCTTCTTGGATCCATCACGGCCCCTTGGAGTCCGTGCGTGGGGATTCGTGGAACTTACTTTTAACGAGTTTGTTTATTCTGGAAGGTGACGACGTCCTCTCAAATCGAGACGAGGGGCCTCGAGTAAAAAGTGGGTGGGCCAAAACACATGGTTGGCCCCCCCACCTCGAAAAGTGGGTGGGCACTTGCCCATCTGGCCCCCCCTGTTCCTACGCCTATGGAGAGCTCAATTGGAGGTCATCTGGGACACGTCAGGTCACAGAGGTCAGCTTGGAGTCATTAGAGAGCTCAATTTGAGGTCATGGAGGTCATCTGGGACACATCAAGTAACAGAGGTCAACTTGGGGTCATCACAGAGCTCAATTGAAGGTCATTGGGGCCATCTGGGACACGTCAGGTCACAGAGGTCAGCTTGGTGCCATCAGAGAGGTCACTTAGAGGTCACGGAGGTCATCTGGGACACGTCAAGTCACAAAGGTCATGTTGGGGTCATCACATAGCTCTATTGGAGGTCATGAGGGTCATCTGGGACACGTCAGGTCACAGAGGTCAGCTTGATGCCATCAGAGAGGTCACTTAGAGGTCACAGAGGTCATATGGGACATGTCAGGTCACAGAGGTCAACTAAAGGTCATCAGAGAGCTCAATTGGAGGTCATCTGGGACACGTCAGGTCACAGAGGTCAGCTTGGAGTCATTAGAGAGCTCAATTGGAGGTCACGGAGGTCATCTGGGACACGTCAGGTAACAGAGGTCAACTTGGGGTCATCACAGAGCTCTATTGGAGGTCATGAGGGTCATCTGGGACACGTCAGGTCACAGAGGTTAGCTTGGGGTCATCATAGAGGTCACTTAGAGGTTACAGAGGTCATATGGGACACGCCAGGTCACAGAGGTCAAGTTGGGGTCATTACAGAGCTCAAATGGAGGTCATCTGGGACACATCAGGTCACAGAGGTCAGCTTGGAGTCATCAGAGAGCTCAATTGGGGGTCACGGAGGTCATCTGGGACACGTCAAGTCACAAAGGTCATGTTGGGGTCATCACATAGCTCTATTGGAGGTCATGAGGGTCATCTGGGACACGTCAGGTCACAGAGGTCAGCTTGGAGTCATCAGAGAGCTCAATAGGATGTCACGGAGGTCATCTGGGACAGGTCAGGTAAAAAAGGTCAACTTGGGGTCATCACAGAGCTCATTGGAGGTCATCGGGGTCAGCTGGGACATGTCGTTTTTGGAAATGGGAGAATATTTTGGGGATGCCCCTTGCAACGTCCAAGACCGCCTTTCTGGATTTGCCAGTAGTTGCTAGAATGGTGTTAGGCAACTTCATATCCCCGAATACCCCTTTAAATGTGAATATAACATATTATGCACCATTTTCAACACTCTCTCTGGCACGGATTGAGGCCTCACAGACGACCCATCAGTTCAAGCTCTATAACTCACGTTAGCGTCAACGGATTGCTACCAAATTTTCAGGATCTAAAGTTTAAACAATTTTACACAATCATGTAAATTTTGTGACCATGACCCGAATGACCTGTGACCTGTGACCTCTTCCTCAAGGCAAGGTCAACTTGTGACTGACACAACTTACGACTGCTATTTCAAATTCGTAAGTTGTGTCGCAAATCAGGCTATTTGTGATAGAATTTACTACTTAAGTAACGCTACTCATCAATGCCAGCAGGCCGCTGTTTTTCTTTTCATAGAACTGACCTCTGTTTTATTCTTTTTTCTAAAGGAACCGAACGATCGGAACAATTTGTCAATCTAAAGGCATCCAATCCAAACCTTTGACGCAGTGCACCCTATACAACAGGTAAGTATGCAGGGTTAGATTATGTTTTTCTTCTTCAAATGATATTATCTTCAAGTACCTCTGTAGCAACAATATCGAACTCACAAAAGTTCACGCCGTATGTCTTACCCTACATATTCCAATAACAATAACCCTCCCCATCAATGCCACCACATCAATAAAGCGCTTCCCGTCATATGTAACAAACGGAAACTTAAACGTCTCAACCGCGCCATTAAGGCAAGCAATAAAGGATAGCTAAATAATATAATGCATCATCATAACTATTAAACGAACTACGAAAGCTTAACTTAATAAAAAAGACAGAAAAATACAAACTACAAAATACTTCTTATGTGATTATGCGCGATTTCAAATGCATCAAATTACAGCAATCTGTCAAAATATCATTTTCAGCATATGGTAATTAAAAAGGAATCCCATTGACCCAAAATTTTGATTTTCCCGTAAAAACTTTCCTATGGGGAAAAAGTGGAATTTTCCTGCAGGACTGTATCTGGGTAAACGAGAGCTTTCGATTGATACCCATTTTTACCCTAGCGCCCCGTTTTTGGCCGTACAAGGGCGAATTTACGGATTTTTTACGAGTTTACGGGGCTTCAAGGGCCTTAAACGTCAATGCAACGGGGACTGTTTTGGGGAAAGTTTCTCGGCTGGTGGTGGGGCACCTGTGTGCCGATTTTGAACGAAATCGGGGGGGACCCCCCATTGACCCAAAATTTTGATTTTCCCGTAAAAACTTTCCTATGGGGAAAAAGTGGAATTTTCCTGCAGGACTGTGTCTGGGTAAACGAGAGCTTTCGATTGATACCCATTTTTACCCTAGCGCCCCGTTTTTTACCGTACAAGGGCGAATTTACGGATTTTTTACGAGTTTACGGGGCTTTAAGGGCCTTAAACGTCAATGCAACGGGGACCGTTTTGGGGAAAGTTTCTCGGCTGGTGGTGGGGCACCTGTGTGCCGATTTTGAACGAAATCGGGGGGGACCCCCCATTGACCCGAAATTTTGATTTTTCCGTAAAAACTTTCCTATGGGGAAAAAGTGGAATTTTCCTGCAGGACTGTGTCTGGGTAAACGAGAGCTTTCGATTGATACCCATTTTTACCCTAGCGCCCCGTTTTTGGCCGTACAAGGGCGAATTTACGGATTTTTTACGAGTTTACGGGGCTTTAAGGGCCTTAAACGTCAATGCAACGGGGACCGTTTTGGGGAAAGTTTCTCGGCTGGTGGTGGGGCACCTGTGTGCCGATTTTGAACGAAATCGGGGGGGACCCCCCATTGACCCGAAATTTTGATTTTTCCGTAAAAACTTTCCTATGGGGAAAAAGTGGAATTTTCCTGCAGGACTGTGTCTGGGTAAACGAGAGCTTTCGATTGATACCCATTTTTACCCTAGCGCCCCGTTTTTGGCCGTACAAGGGCGAATTTACGGATTTTTTACGAGTTTACGGGGCTTTAAGGGCCTTAAACGTCAATGCAACGGGGACCGTTTTGGGGAAAGTTTCTCGGCTGGTGGTGGGGCACCTGTGTGCCGATTTTGAACGAAATCGGGGGGGACCCCCCATTGACCCGAAATTTTGATTTTTCCGTAAAAACTTTCCTATGGGGAAAAAGTGGAATTTTCCTGCAGGACTGTGTCTGGGTAAACGAGAGCTTTCGATTGATACCCATTTTTACCCTAGCGCCCCGTTTTTGGCCGTACAAGGGCGAATTTACGGATTTTTTACGAGTTTACGGGGCTTTAAGGGCCTTAAACGTCAATGCAACGGGGACCGTTTTGGGGAAAGTTTCTCGGCTGGTGGTGGGGCACCTGTGTGCCGATTTTGAACGAAATCGGGGGGGACCCCCCATTGACCCGAAATTTTGATTTTTCCGTAAAAACTTTCCTATGGGGAAAAAGTGGAATTTTCCTGCAGGACTGTGTCTGGGTAAACGAGAGCTTTCGATTGATACCCATTTTTACCCTAGCGCCCCGTTTTTGGCCGTACAAGGGCGAATTTACGGATTTTTTACGAGTTTACGGGGCTTTAAGGGCCTTAAACGTCAATGCAACGGGGACCGTTTTGGGGAAAGTTTCTCGGCTGGTGGTGGGGCACCTGTGTGCCGATTTTGAACGAAATCGGGGGGGACCCCCCATTGACCCGAAATTTTGATTTTTCCGTAAAAAACTTTCCTATGGGGAAAAAGTGGAATTTTCCTGCAGGACTGTGTCTGGGTAAACGAGAGCTTTCGATTGATACCCATTTTTACCCTAGCGCCCCGTTTTTGGCCGTACAAGGGCGAATTTACGGATTTTTTACGAGTTTACGGGGCTTTAAGGGCCTTAAACGTCAATGCAACGGGGACCGTTTTGGGGAAAGTTTCTCGGCTGGTGGTGGGGCACCTGTGTGCCGATTTTGAACGAAATCGGGGGGGACCCCCCATTGACCCGAAATTTTGATTTTTCCGTAAAAACTTTCCTATGGGGAAAAAGTGGAATTTTCCTGCAGGACTGTGTCTGGGTAAACGAGAGCTTTCGATTGATACCCATTTTTACCCTAGCGCCCCGTTTTTGGCCGTACAAGGGCGAATTTACGGATTTTTTACGAGTTTACGGGGCTTTAAGGGCCTTAAACGTCAATGCAACGGGGACCGTTTTGGGGAAAGTTTCTCGGCTGGTGGTGGGGCACCTGTGTGCCGATTTTGAACGAAATCGGGGGGGACCCCCCATTGACCCGAAATTTTGATTTTTCCGTAAAAACTTTCCTATGGGGAAAAAGTGGAATTTTCCTGCAGGACTGTGTCTGGGTAAACGAGAGCTTTCGATTGATACCCATTTTTACCCTAGCGCCCCGTTTTTGGCCGTACAAGGGCGAATTTACGGATTTTTTACGAGTTTACGGGGCTTTAAGGGCCTTAAACGTCAATGCAACGGGGACCGTTTTGGGGAAAGTTTCTCGGCTGGTGGTGGGGCACCTGTGTGCCGATTTTGAACGAAATCGGGGGGGACCCCCCATTGACCCGAAATTTTGATTTTTCCGTAAAAACTTTCCTATGGGGAAAAAGTGGAATTTTCCTGCAGGACTGTGTCTGGGTAAACGAGAGCTTTCGATTGATACCCATTTTTACCCTAGCGCCCCGTTTTTGGCCGTACAAGGGCGAATTTACGGATTTTTTACGAGTTTACGGGGCTTTAAGGGCCTTAAACGTCAATGCAACGGGGACCGTTTTGGGGAAAGTTTCTCGGCTGGTGGTGGGGCACCTGTGTGCCGATTTTGAACGAAATCGGGGGGGACCCCCCATTGACCCGAAATTTTGATTTTTCCGTAAAAAACTTTCCTATGGGGAAAAAGTGGAATTTTCCTGCAGGACTGTGTCTGGGTAAACGAGAGCTTTCGATTGATACCCATTTTTACCCTAGCGCCCCGTTTTTGGCCGTACAAGGGCGAATTTACGGATTTTTTACGAGTTTACGGGGCTTTAAGGGCCTTAAACGTCAATGCAACGGGGACCGTTTTGGGGAAAGTTTCTCGGCTGGTGGTGGGGCACCTGTGTGCCGATTTTGAACGAAATCGGGGGGGACCCCCCATTGACCCGAAATTTGGATTTTTCCGTAAAAACTTTCCTATGGGGAAAAAGTGGAATTTTCCTGCAGGACTGTGTCTGGGTAAACGAGAGCTTTCGATTGATACCCATTTTTACCCTAGCGCCCCGTTTTTGGCCGTACAAGGGCGAATTTACGGATTTTTTACGAGTTTACGGGGCTTTAAGGGCCTTAAACGTCAATGCAACGGGGACCGTTTTGGGGAAAGTTTCTCGGCTGGTGGTGGGGCACCTGTGTGCCGATTTTGAACGAAATCGGGGGGGACCCCCCATTGACCCGAAATTTTGATTTTTCCGTAAAAACTTTCCTATGGGGAAAAAGTGGAATTTTCCTGCAGGACTGTGTCTGGGTAAACGAGAGCTTTCGATTGATACCCATTTTTACCCTAGCGCCCCGTTTTTGGCCGTACAAGGGCGAATTTACGGATTTTTTACGAGTTTACGGGGCTTTAAGGGCCTTAAACGTCAATGCAACGGGGACCGTTTTGGGGAAAGTTTCTCGGCTGGTGGTGGGGCACCTGTGTGCCGATTTTGAACGAAATCGGGGGGGACCCCCCATTGACCCGAAATTTTGATTTTTCCGTAAAAACTTTCCTATGGGGAAAAAGTGGAATTTTCCTGCAGGACTGTGTCTGGGTAAACGAGAGCTTTCGATTGATACCCATTTTTACCCTAGCGCCCCGTTTTTGGCCGTACAAGGGCGAATTTACGGATTTTTTACGAGTTTACGGGGCTTTAAGGGCCTTAAACGTCAATGCAACGGGGACCATTTTGGGGAAAGTTTCTCGGCTGGTGGTGGGGCACCTGTGTGCCGATTTTGAACGAAATCGGGGGGGACCCCCCATTGACCCGAAATTTTGATTTTTCCGTAAAAACTTTCCTATGGGGAAAAAGTGGAATTTTCCTGCAGGACTGTGTCTGGGTAAACGAGAGCTTTCGATTGATACCCATTTTTACCCTAGCGCCCCGTTTTTGGCCGTACAAGGGCGAATTTACGGATTTTTTACGAGTTTACGGGGCTTTAAGGGCCTTAAACGTCAATGCAACGGGGACCGTTTTGGGGAAAGTTTCTCGGCTGGTGGTGGGGCACCTGTGTGCCGATTTTGAACGAAATCGGGGGGGACCCCCCATTGACCCGAAATTTTGATTTTTCCGTAAAAACTTTCCTATGGGGAAAAAGTGGAATTTTCCTGCAGGACTGTGTCTGGGTAAACGAGAGCTTTCGATTGATACCCATTTTTACCTCTTTGTGACGTCATTTCTAGGGGAAAACGGGTCATAAAGGTTTCCCTCTACCGGGGCCTTTTTTCCCCCTACCGAATCTGTGCTGTGCTGAATCTGTGCTGAATCTGTGCCAACTTCCGTTACATTGTTTATGCACTGAGCTGAGCAGCGTCAACATTTCCAGAACTGAAAGCTGGAAACCATCTACCTATTCAACCAGAAGGTAGGTACGGCTACATTTACGCATCCGTTGCAACTTGCGACCATCCCGAGTTCAGTCACTGCTCAGTGCTCAGTGGCCAGCACTACTTACCACGAAAAGCGCACCTCTTAGGATCTTTTATCTCCGAAACGCCGACCCGC